GAGTTACTTGCAAAATATGCAAATGACATTTTCCATTTATCATCCCTGCTTGATTGGAATATGAATCTGTCTAAATGAGTGACACTAATTATGTAAAATTATTCACGAAATTAAATAGCTTACTTTAAATACTTAGACTAAAAAAAAAATGTTAATTTACGATTAAATAGTTAATATTCATTATTGATAAATATTCTTATACTTATGAACCCATATTAACGCGAATGAATTTAAAGTAGATATTAATGAACTTGCGAACTAAATAAAATACTGAAATAGTAAATATCCATGAATATTTATACAGATTAAAAAAGGCCAATTATGAAACCAATTTTTTTTTTTACATTATACCTGATAAATTTAGAATATGTCATCACACAGACATCAAGTACACTATTCTTCTGTCCATAGTGTCTTTCGTATCACTAAATTATATTACATGAATTAAACAACTAATTCAGCACAAGATTTTATTCTTAGATGTAAAAATTATATTCACATAATTTTTAATTATTATCATTATAAATATATATTGATATTGGTCAAATTCTTGTTTTAACTCCTTTTTATTTTTTTTCGGTATAATATTTTTTTGGCACAAATAAGTACATACGAATACAATAAATTATAGCATTTATTATTTACCTCTATTTTTTCACTATTAATGGTGTATATGCGTTTATTCTCCGCCGAGAGCTGACAATAAAATTTATTTTTATGGTGGAATTAATAAATATATTAGTCTTTCGGACTTTTTTTACCTCGACGTTTCAAAATCATTTATTATAACCGATATGGAATTAATGCCCTGAGTTAATCTTATTCCAACTACGGGTCTATCAGCAAGAACAGTTTGTGTTTATGGGGAGGATAAGAATCAAATTATTTATCGAATTATTTATATTGGCGGTGCTGAGGCGAAAGGAGATAATTTTGCTATCGTTTTTTACATTACAACACTACAATGGAGTAATCCAAATACTTAAAATAATTTAACATTTCATGGAGGACTTTTTCAATTGTACTGTATTGTTTTGGGAAACAATATATATGTCTTTGGAGGATTTAAACCTCCAAATAGCATGATTAAACTAGATACGTTAATTATGTCTTGGGCAGAATTTTTTCCCGGAGTGGAACCTTTTGGAGTAATTTCAAGCTATAGTGCTATACCTTTAAGCAATGTTTCTATACTGATATTGGAGGTCAACCAGGTGGTAATGTCCAAAGACTTCTCAATCCTTCATTTGACAAGGTTTGATATTATTTTATTAAAAAATATAGATGTTACTAATTTTAATCATGATAGTCATCATTATAATATTAATAATAATTCACAGTGTAGTTGTAAGTTTATTCAGAGCTAAAACTTTAACTCGATATCATTAATTTATATTCTTGAAATTGAAATCTCTGCTAATTTTATTTAGACTACGGGAGTTCTCAAGCGCCTCAATTAATGGATCAAAGTATGTCAAAAATGAGTCGGGAATTAAATTTTAATTAACGGAAAATAATTTTAATCGATCAATTGAGCTTGTCATTAAGATGAGTTTAGCATTTCAGTCAAAAAACTTTTTGTACCTAGTGATGATGCAATTATTGGTATCGTATTTGGTGTAATGGCGGGGATCATATTATTATCAATTGCTGCTGCTTGAATATTAAAAGATACGTATTAAATTTTTGAACCAATTAATGAAGCCGATAATTAATGTATCAGTCTTTTAGTAACCAAAAATAAGCTTGAATATTAATCAGCAAAAATATGTGCATCGTCTTGTCTAATGTTTTTTTTTAAAAAAAAATGAAAACTATTCTTTTATGCAAATAATTAATCACAATTTACTCAACTATTCATATTTGTACATTACGTTTCAGTTCAAATTATAGTAGGTGGGAACGGAGTCAAGTTGATTTGGAATCGATTTAAATTTGAATATAATAACTACACGACTTTAACCTTAAAAACTTCAAATCAATTAAAAATTATATTTCATTTACAACATACGAATATGTTCGTGCTTTACACACCTCTACAAAATTACCGGTAAATGCCCTAGGTCGGAAGAGCAAGTTTTGGGCGTCATAAGATCAAATTATATTAATTACTCCTTTAACTGTAACTTTCCACTTTTTTATCTCTCTTACTTCTCGTTCTATTCCTCTCATTTTATTAATAATAAAAAGATCATTTTTATATAAGTGCCACAAAGTGAAAATCTAGAATTCTTATTTTCGGAAATTTCGTTTCATAAAGACCTATTTTTTACTTGTACTAATTTTAGGTTATTACGTAATTATTTTTTACTGTATATCGCATAAAAACTCCTATTTAAATTTGGTCATACCAGCACAACTTTACGTTTCAGTTGAACTGTTTTCATTTTATTTAATTTAGACTCTCACTCATACACAAAAAAAAGGGTTGTTTATAGAAAATTTATTATAGCAAAAAATTTACTTTCAAAAAAAAGGTTTAAATACTATTTCGTACTTAACAGATTATTTCCCATCATAAAGTTCCTTGTGAGAAATTGAGATTAATATCCATATCTTTAAAGAATATTATCTTAGTAGACTTGAATAGCTACTGTCTACGACTCTATAACACTTCTAGTTGTAAAAACTGCTATATATCGAAATTTATTAATGAGCATTTGATGCTACCATAATTTACACGATGGAATTTTCGATTGATTTCTTTAAATATGTTATAATCTTCATAACTAATCTGCTCGCCAAATTCTTCCTCCTGAAGTTCTAAGGAGATCAAAGTAATATTTTTATGAAGAGCATTTGCTAGTGCTCTTATTCCTTCAGAGGTTATATCATTATCAGAAAGATCTAAAGAAGTTAAAGTAGCGTTTGTATAAAGTGCTTCAGCAAATACTTTTCCCCCTTCAACACCAATATTATTGGCTCTAAAATTTAAGGAAGTTAAAGCTGTATTTATATGAAGTGCATCTGCTAACTTTTTTCCTCCTACTATACCAATATTATTATGATTAAGGTTTAAAAAAGTTAAAGTTTTGTTTATACAAAGTGTTTCTGCTAATGCCTTTCCTCCCTCAGAACCAATATCATTATAAGAAAGATCTAAAGATGTCATAATAACGTTCTTACAAAGCGCCTTTGCTAATAATTTTCCTCCTTCATCACCAATACGGTTAAAACTAAGATTTAAAGATGTTAAAGTAGTGTTTATATGAAGTGCTTCTGCTAATGACTTTCCTCCTTCACTACCAATATAATTATGGAAAAGATTTAAATGAGTTAAAGTTGTGTTCTTACAAAGAACCTCGGCTATTGCTTTTCCTTCTTCACAACTGAGTTGATCATGGTTAAGATATAAAGAAGTAAAAGGAATATTTTTACCAATAGCTTCAATTAATGATTTTATTCCTTCGGAATCAAAATAATGATAAAGTTTTAGAGAAATAAGGGTGTCATTTCTACAGAGATCTTTAATTACTTTACTATAAATTGTTCCGCATAATTCTAAATTTTTTAATTTCTTACTTGTACGTAAAAACATTAAAATTAAACAATTAACAATATTTTGATAAATATCATCATCCCAATAATCCCAATTACGTAAATCATAACCTTTATAATAGAGCCATTCTCTAACTCCATCATATAAAGAAAAGCCAACAGATGTAGTATAACTTGTATAATCAAATAAAGGTTTTGGATAATTTGGAAGTGTAATTTTAAAAGGGATTAAAAATGTTTGCTCTTCAGCATTTAATGATAAAAGGCATGTATTTATAAGTTTTTCACTGCTCAATTTATCGCTTATTTCACTCCATAATATTGGTATAGTAATTCTACACCAGTGACGGTTTACAAGAAGGCATATATATAAACTATTATGATCTGATTGCAAATTTTTAAATATTTTGAAAAGACATTCGTTAGGTAGTCCTAACATATTGATATTAAAAATTCTTGGTACGTACTGTACGTAAGTATAAAAATTTTCTTTATAACAAGTACAGTACGCACGTCGTACGTAAACTTAAATACGTATTGTCATTAGCATGAAATGTTGTGAAACGTTGTAATGGGTGTAACTATTTAGTCAGGGATCCTTAAAGCGGGTTGATCAAAGTTGCGTTTTCGATACTTTTATGGTTAGTAGGTTATAAAGATATCAAGAATATAATTTGTGCAGTATGTAGATAATTAAATGAAATCTGCCAGTATTACGTCATGTATGTTGTAACGCCCAGATTTGAGAGAGCTACATACGTAGTGCAGTAGTGCAGATTAACTTTGGGCGTTGCATAAGTTATGCGGGACGAACGTTTTATTAAGGAATTCGGGGTTAATGGTAGTTGGAAATTAAGTAAAGTATATGTGTGATATTTTATTAACCTTTAACCATATGTTCTAACTGTCCCATCGAACCAGCTATCTTCTTATCCTCCTATTTTATTAATTAATAAAGGACTACTTTTATATATTTACGGCACTGTATTCTCAGGGAGTATAGAAGTTTCGTACTGTACTTTTTATTTAATTGTACATACAGTACAGTACACCCCTTACTATATAATATATAGGATATATATATAAAAGGTGTACGGTACTGTATTTTTAAAAAATTGTACAGTACAATACAAAGTTTTAAGAAATTTTTATCCGTTATTTGTATGTATTACCAAGGCAGACCCAAAGTTCTGGTGCATTACTTCTGCAGAATTCTAACTTAATCAAATGATTCTTTGAAAGAAGATTAATTTGAGTATCCGAACTTTGGAAAGTCTACCCTAAAGTAATCTATTTATAACATATATAAATATTAGATAATGAAAATTTTATTTAAGTTATTTATTTATATTTTTTTGTACAAATTAAATAATTTTGGCAAGCAAAGCAAAGAGTTTAATATTTTTATTGCAATAAAATCATTACATAAAAAAAATTAATCATAAGCATCTATTTTAGCAAATATATTATGGAACTAGTAACGAAACTAATAATACTGTTAATTATTTATCATTAGGTTCAGTATTACATAATGATTTAAGTTGTTGGCGAAGTCTAATTTCTCTTTCAAGTTCATCGTTCAAACTCTTTTGAACTGTTAATTTTTTATAATCAATATCTAACTGTTGTTCTTGTTCATATGTTAAAGAAGATTCATTGGAAATAGATTCTTTGTTAAAGCGAGCTTTTTTTTTAGGTTTTGTTGTAATTGGCGATTGTTTTGTATTTTGTTTTTCTAAAAAATAAAATTAAATTAATTCTAAAGAAAATAACTATTCTTAACCGGGGGGAAATTCCTCCCCTTAGTTATTTTTAGGGTTAGGGTTAGAAATTAGAGAATTATTTTTTTTTTATATAAAATAATATAGAGCTACTATAAGGGCCCGATAGGGCCCGATCTCGGTTCTCGTGAGGTTTTTGGGGTCCTGAACATTTTTACTTAGAGGACCCGATCCCGTTTACTTAGTACGTTATTGAGATACAGCACCCCCAGGTAATTTGCCCCGGTTAAGATTAGCAATTCTCAATTCTGAATTGATATCTTAATATTATATAGTATAACAATATACTTACGCTTTCTTTTAGATGAATTTATTGTACATTGTAATGAAGATTTATTACGATATGAATCTTGCACATTAGTTTTTTCATAAGTTATTGCTGTACTCCATTGATGAGAATCAAAATTCGCAGATCTAAAAAATAAAATCTTTATATATTTATCTATTTTAACAAAATAATAAAGGACTGTATACTAAAAATAATACCTTTGGATAGCAGCTACTAATGACCAGTTGTATTAATTGTTGCATGTGCGGATTCACTAGCATTAGTTGTAAATGGCATAGTGATCCAAATATTATGTGCCATTTTAGTAAATGCAGGTGATAATGCAGCCATAACCCAATTTTGTTTTTTATCTAAAACCCAATCTAGAAAAATGTATTAGTAATTTAAAAAATATCAATATAATAATAATTATAATAATAATAATAACCTTTGACAATTTTAATTTCACAATTTTCAAGACTCTTTAAAATTTCTATTACATCATTTTGAGAATTTGCTCTTATAATCGAATATATTTTTTTTTGATTTCTTTTGGAACACCAGCTTTATTTCTAATATTTCTATAAATTATTTTAATAAAAATTATTTAATTTTAAAAAATAACTTAGATTAAAAAAATAATTTAGTTTTAAAATTTTACTTTTTGAAATGTATAGTACAAATTTTATAAATATATTCCAAATGTTCAGTTGGGCTATATATCGGATATTTTTGATTTAAATATTGACCAAGCCCTATAATTTAAATTTTAGAATAATAATATTTTGTAAAATAATATTAATTATAGCTAATTATTATAAACTAACCTAAAGCTTGGCCACGATGTTCATCTGCAAGGATACATCCAATGTCTTGATTATGAATATGATAAAATTTTATTGGTTTTTTAATATCTTGCTCAATATATAAAAATAATTCTTCAAATAATCACTGATATGCATCAACAGTTTGTAAAATAGTAAATGCCCAGGCAAAAGTAAGAGCTAAGTGTTAATTAAAAATAATATTAATTTTTAATAAAATTAAATAATTATAATTTAATTAAAAAATTATACTTTTTTGATGAGTTTCACTATATGCGCATATTTCCCATTTATTAATAGGACTATGAACTCGCTTAAATGACATATCTATTTCAATATATTTAGATTTTCTTAAGCCCTCAATTTGTTGTTTATATCCACATAATACAAGATATTGACCGTTATTAAGTAATCCTTAAATAAAATTACTATTAATAAAATTATAATTTAAAATAAATAAATTAAATATTTTTAAATTTTACTTACTAATAGTTCTTATATAAGGATTTTCATCATTGTTTCATTAATAAATATGCAACACCATAAATATTTTGCCCATAAGGATGTTCAGTACGTTTCTAGATGCTATTAATGCATCAAGTTTTAAAAGATTATTTAAAGATAAATATAATTGAGGTAGTGGAACTCCTTTTAAATATAAAATTAATGTAGGCCCTAATAATTAATAAAATATTAATTAATTAATAATTTAAAAATAAATATTAAATTAAAAATACTTACGATTTAAAAGTTTTTTTTTTTTTTAATATTTAAGGTGAGACCTTGCTCTTATCTTTATTAAACTTAATGAAAACTTTTTACATGA